CTGCGAGGTCTTGAAGGACATCTTCGGTATCGACAAGTGAGATTGTCTCGTATCGTTCGACGCCCGCGTATTGATATTGATGATCGAATTTCAACTTTTTCGAAGGCGAGCCCTGAGCGGAGGTGATATCGCGGAGCTGGAAAATGACCCGCTGCAGGTCTTGAAGGACATCTTCGGTATCGACAAGTAAGGCAGTTATGGATATGCTTGGGTGAGCGACGCTGATCGTCATCCCTTTGCCACCTTCGCAGACGCGCCCTCAGTGGAGGAGATATCGCCGAGCTGCAGAACCATCCGCTGGACGTGCTGAAGGAAATCTTTGGCTTTGACAAGTAAGCTGCTGCCTACTCTCGCTGCACCTCCGTAACTCAACAATGACCCGGTGTTAGGCGCGCACTCAGTGGAGGCGACATCGCGCAGTTGGAGAATGACCCCCTGGGCGTGTTGAAGGAGATTTTGGGTCTTTAGATCAGTTGCTTTGTCTGGTGAAGATGATGACAATAGTTCTACGGCAATGCATATATGCTTTGTCAAGACCGAGAGAGACGGGTATGTGTACTGGACTTAGACGCGCGCGTGCCGCAATCAAGCTCGCACTGAGCTGTTTCTGCCATCGTCCTTCTAGCCGTCATGGCCGTCATGACCCGGGAGGCGGCTCAACCAGCAACCGACACAATTATACACAAGCCAGTGCGGTACGTGGCAGCCGCGAGGTGAGTTCCCGCACGAAGATCGCAGTGCGAACCCGTCGGTGTTGTCGGATGAGCCTGACAGAATCAACCAGATGACCGACAACGAGCAGGATGTCGAATAGTGATGATTGTCAACGTCGCGTCTACGTTTGAACGTTGACGTCGACCTACGTTGACCCCAACTCCGGAGTCAATCCGGAGTCAGTGTATGTTTATGTGTGACATCGAGAACCGGTGCAAGTCGCGGGCGGCAGAAGTAAGTATCATCACATTCGCAGCCCACGGTCGATTTGAGCGCAGAAGCGCCCTTAATGTGGACATGGTGTGTACATCGATCAGGCAAGACACAGGCCGAGCGAACGTTTGGGCCCTTGGAAGGCACGTAGAACCGCTAGACCGTGTTTTGGACCACCGTTTCACGTGCTTGCCGTTGCAGATTGGCTTCACGTTCCCGCGTTTGCTTCATTGTTGCTCCTCCACAAATCACACCGCGTCTGTCTCGATGTCGGACCTGCAGCACAATGCGCACCTCCGGGACGGGCTGTGGCCGACGATGATCACAGTCGCAGCACCGTCACGTCCATGTTGGGGCCGACACGCGGTGCTCGGAGTCGGGGCACACTGACCGACATTTGACGTCAGTCCAAAAACGGTCAGCTGGCCGTCGAACAAGTTGGATAGCCTTCGCGAATCCAAACATCCAGACAGGGGCGCTCAGTGATCGAACACCGCTCGCCACCATGTCACGCGCCGACGGGATCCATATAAACCCAAGCCGTCCCGGTGGAACCACTCCCAGAGATCGCCCAACCTCCCCTCGCATTGATACTCCCTTGACAATCCGTTGTTCACGAACATGATGATGAAGTCCGCTCTTCTCGCTGTGGCTCTCGCTGCTGGCGCGTCCGCCCAGTCCTCGTCAGCCGCGACGCCCAGCTTGTCGACGTGCTTGACCGGGTGCCTCACCCAGGCCGTGAGCGCCGGTGGTTGCTCATCCTTGTGCGTATTTGTTCGTGCTTCTTATCGCAATGATAGACTCATCGATTCGCACCGCTGCAGCACCGACCTTAACTGCGTCTGCACCAGCACCGCCTTCCAGAATGCGGCCGCGTCGTGCCTGCAGTCGCAATGTTCTGCTGCTGACCAGGCGGCTGCGCTGCAACTCCAGCAGGCGGAGTGCGCCAGTGGTACGTCCTCGCCCATCATAAATTCACACTTATGCCCAAGTTTCCTGCAGTTTCCTCCGCAGCTTCTTCGGGCGCCAGTGTCACGTCTTCTGTCGCCTCCTCCACTGACAGCGTTGCCTCGTCGGTGTCCTCTTCGCTTGCCAGCGTCACTAGTTCGCTTAGCAGCGTCGCGAGCACCGCTACCAAGCCCGCCTCCAGGTTCGTCCCCAGACTCAACCTGTCAAGCCTTCCCTGTACTGACTGGCGTCCAGCGTTCTCTCGTCGGCTTCGTCAAAGGCTTCGTCCCAGTTGTCTTCCGCAAGCTCGGCTGCTGCCTCTGGTGAGCTCGCGTCTTAACCGAAATGCTTGAATCCCGCTGACCTGCTGCTCTTTCAGCCGCTACCTCTTCTTCAGCCGCTATGGGCAAGGCTACCCTCTCTGGCATTCCCCTCACCGGGGTGGTCCTCGTGGTCGGAGGTGCCATCTTCGGCGCTGGATTGGTCTTGTAGTCCCATCTGCCCTTAAAAAGTACACTCGTAATTTTTCGTCATATCCCCACCTATCTGTCGTAGTCTCGCTCAATCTCAGACTCAACGGTTTATGTGACGTTCGTGTACCTGGACTGCGAGTCATCAGATGAGTACGATGGGCTACACAACACTACCCATGTACGTGTAGCAGACAGTGTAGTCTTCTCCCACCCGTTATTCAGCCCGTTATCTATTATAACGTTCACCGCCAGTGATCATTTTACGCGTATCACAATGACACCAGTGCATACAGCAAGATAGGGTACGATCTGATCTGTAATTCTGCAACACGCCGTCGGTTGGGTGTATATACGTAGCAAACTAACTCTAAATCGAGGCCCCCGGCACTGGGGATTCTAGACGTTGAACGTGCCGGTCAGGTGAATCTGCCTCGACGAGCTGCCCACGGACACCTTGAAGGTGCCGCTAGGGATGACCCACTTCTGAGACACGACGTCCCAGATACTGATGTCCTTGCGGCGAAGAGGGAGCGAAATATGAGCGGCGCCTCCCCGGCGAATAAAACTCCTGTCGAAGCCGCGCAGCACGCGCGGAGGCTCGTTCGCGCTGGCTGGGAAAGATAGGTAGAGCTGGGAGACCTCGTTGCCGTCAACGCCGCCCGTGTTCGAGACGGTGTAAGAAATGGTGTAAAGAGTGTCAAAGAGGTTGGCGGGACCGCCTGGGTGCGTCTGAGCAGGGGAAGAGATGGCGGGAGGAGCCGATCCCGTCGCGGTGGCGTTCGAGGAGATGCTGGAAGTGGCATTCAACGAGGCCGATGACGTCGCATTCAGGGAGAAGGAACCGGAAGCGGAGATGGAAACTGAGGCATTGGACGAGGCAGACGCTGTGATCGTGGCGGAAGCGGCGGAAGATGCTGCAGATGAGGACAAGGGAGCGCTGGAAGCCGATAAGGTCGATGCGCTGGAGAATAGGCTCGACGTGGCGGAAGCAAGGGAAGACGACGCGACGGTGGACAGCGAAGCGGAGGCGGAGACGCTGGACGCAGCGGAGGAAACGGCCGAACGCACGCCTCTCTTGTGCACGGAACCGGAGATGCGCAACCCGCTGTAGGCGAACGTCGTGTAGCTCAAACCAAATCCGAACTCGAATCGTGGAGTGATGCCGGCGGCGTCAAAGTGCCTGAGAAACACAGCGGCTAAGTATGCAATCGAATAGCCAACCATACTACAACTAACCTGTAGTCGATGTTGACGCCCTCTTCGTACGTGATTTGAGGCGTCTCCATCGAACTGGTGTACAGTACGTCCGCGGGGTAGTCAGATCGAGATTTTGCGATGGTGTGCGGGAGGCGTCCGCTGGGGTTCACAGTGCCAAAGAGTACGTCGACGATGGCGTTGCCCGTCTCCTGACCGGGCAGGCCGGCGTAAAGCACGGCAGTGACATTGGGATGGTCGATCCAGGCCTCCACCAGGACGGGGCCAACGGCGTGCATGATGACGATAGTGTTGCTGCACTGGGAGGCCGTGGCATTGATGAGAGCGTCTCCGGCATGCCAGAGCGTGAGGTTATTGCGATCTCCAGCATTGGTGTCCACAGTGATGTACCCTTCTCCGGACATGGCATTCGTGAACACAAGACAGGTGTCGGCCACCGCAGCAACGTCGGCGACTTGAGCGTAGTTGAAGTCGTTCAAAACGGCTTCAACCGGGATCGTCGGTTTGTTCGCATTGACGTAGGCGTTGATGGCAGCGGACGGGTCGATGAGGTACGGGAAGTTAGCAGTCCCGCTTCCTGAAACGACGAGAGGTCATGAGCGACTCTCGAAAACGAATGCGGTCAACGAGCAACATACCCCATCCCATCGCGAGGGTGCCTTGATCGCAGCCACGGCTAAGAAAAGCCGATCAGCCCACGGATCCCTCTTGAGCGAAGAAGAGGACATACTCCGAGCATCCATTGGGCCCGTCAGGATTGGGTCCCGCGTCGGAACCGAAGATACCGATACCTGATAGAAGCAATTCAGCCTCCCTATCCGGCCGTGCACAGGATCCACTCACGCTTAATCTTGTTCAAGCTCAGAGGAAGCGCTCCCTTGTTCTTGAGAAGCACGGTGCTGGCGCCGCCGATCTCGCGGATGACTTTGTAATGATCGCCCTGAACGCTAAATTGCGACTGTGTTACACGAATCTCGCGGGTCAGCGGATCGGACTTACTTGACGTGTTCGTTCACTTTGACGCCGTTGAGGTAGGTCTGTTCAGTGAGCTGGCTGAAGCTGACCGGTGGGTAGTTCCGGTCCTGGCCCATCTTGTAGTATGCGGCGAATGTCCTGACTCGTGGTCAATCCCGGATGCCGCCAGGGGGATCGGCGACGTGAACTGACCTGACCACCATGTCGTCCACTCGCCATTCGGGAACGCTGCCGTTCTTGACCGACTCGATCAAAGCAGAGCCCCACCACGAGTTGGTGGTGTTGTCGGGGTTCTCCTCGTCCTGCGGACCCTGGCCGTAAGCTGTGAATCCGGGCATGTTCATGTCCGTTCCCGCCAAGGCCTAGTGCAGGTGAGCGTAAGGCGCGAAGCACGGAGGTATACGGAACTCACCGGTTGCACGCCGTTAATGAGAGCAGCCCAATCACTGAGCACGAAGCCCTGGAAGTCAAGTTCCTCCTTAAGGACGCCGTTGATGAGCTTGCTGTTTTGGCAAGATTGCGTCTGATTGATTTTGTTGTACGAGCACCTGCCGTGCAATCAGGCGCTAGCCTTCTCGAAGGCAGTGTAAGACGGCTCACATCACGCTACCAACACCAGCGTTGACGGCCTCAGCAAATGGCCAGAGATAGAGCTCGTGCAGGGTTTTGTCGCCCACGTTGGACGAATAGACCTGGGGGGCCTCCGATCCTCCTCGGAAGTGCTCTTGTTCATTGCCGATGCTGAGCGAGGAGTAATCAGCAAAGCGTGGTTGATGCAACAGTGGAGCACTAACTAGTGCTTGACGCAAGCAATAACGCCGACGTCCTGGTAGCCCTTGGTAGTTTGCGCCGAGGCGACACCAGCAAGGTATGGATCGGCACCAAAGCCTGCGAACGGGTGAGTAAGTGAGATTGAACGCCGACCGCGGATCGTTGCTCACCTTCCCAGTTGCGACCACCGGCGGCCACACGACCAAGGTTAGTCATGGGACCAAGGGCGACATTGACGCCTTTTCCCTGGGGAATAGCATGAGCTCAACCGAAGAAGAGAGCGAGACGTGAAAGAAAACGAACCCTGTGCTCTTGGCCCATTGCTTTACCGCGGGCGTACATCAAATTTTTATCCCAGGTCATCGCTACATTAATACCAGCGGGGCTAACGGAGCTATGAGTGCCTGCTCGATGGATAGGCGCGAGCGAACGTACAAAGCGCTGACGAGATCCGCGAGTCGAACACCGAGAGGCGAATCTTCCAGACAGAGACCGTTCCAACCGAACCTCGGGATCGTCTGCGGTTTCGAAGCGTCAGCTCCTTCGAGCAACACAGCTTCGAAGCCGAACATACTCCAGTGTTGCCGACACAGCGGCCTTCGACGTCGATACCGGTCGTGACGTTAATTTTCTCCTCCAAGGTGAGTTTGGACACGAACGCCTTGGCTCTGGCGACAGCGCTTGCCCAATCGCCATCTCCGGTCACGTTTTTTGCCGGTTGGACCTGGTCGCGAAGGCGGAACGGTGAGCGGAGAACTAGGACCGTCAGAAACCGCGGCTTACAATGGGACTCTCCCACTCTTCAAAGCCTGCTGGGGCCGCGTCGGGTATGCCAGTGGTCAGGTCGCCAAGAGCGGGCAGGGAGAGGGCAAGGGCGACGAAGGTCGCGAGCAACTTCATTTTGACGCGTAGGTGGAACGCGACCGAGGAGAGGAGAGGTTGGGCGAAGGAGTGACGCGCTCGAGAGCGGCGCGAAGGTTGGCGAGGGAGTTTTATATGTGCAGCCAGGTGCTGGCGCGTGGAACGAAAGAGTGGAAGAGGGTAAGGGTGTTGACAAAGGACCTCCGGCGCTGGTGCGGCAAGAGGGAGAGTATATTATTGACCCGCCTCGGACGCGGTCCCGTGGTGATGAGGGCGGGATATGAGAGGGTCGCGCCCGATAAGGCGCACCGAAGCGGGCGAATGAGACGTCGCGCGGCCGCCAGCCCAGATCGAATCATCCTCGTGCCAGGGCGGGCGTGCAGCGTCCACCGGGCGTTGCAGACCTGCTGATCCTGCCACCGTCGCCGCGAGCTCGCGTCTTCCTCGCTCGCGCCGAATGCAGACATTCTGCGTGCCAGTTTCGTGTTCCCGAGCCTCGTATCTTGGTCGTATCCGCGAGAGCGTGTCGGCCACGGGCACGTAACGGACGCGGGGCAACGGCGGGGCACCTCGGGGCACGCGCTTCTCGATCACGAGCGGGGTCAGCTGCCCCAGGAAGAAGCCGGGCTGGATCGAGAAATCTGTTGAGAAATCTGTTGCAGCCGTCAGCGTTCGTCGGTATACTATCAAAGAAGCCCGCTTCCGACTCGGTCACGACGGTCCGCACCCCCGACCAGCATCCGTCGGGGCAACCTCGGGAGTTAGGCCAGAGGTGTGCTGTGACCCTCAAAGCTGAAGCCCAAGTCCTCGTGAGATCCGCTGCAAAGCCCCAGACAAACAACGAGGCGTGAATGAGGAGTGGCACAGCAGTGAACATCCCGGCGAGTCTTGCAAGATCGAAAGTCGTCGAACGCTGCCTTGATCACGATCGTCCAAGTCGTGGCTCAAGCTCAAGGTCGCTTGCTTACTCAATTCTAGCCGTCGCCGCCCATGCTGACACTCCGTTCTCGCCTTCGTCGACCGCTTGTTGCTCATCATAATCTCTCTGTCCAACGAAAGGCATCCACCTCGAGCAAATCTTCGCCGATCCGTTTGCGGACCGGACTCTATGCGACCGTTTTTGCCCTCTCCTCGGGTCTATCCGCCGTTTACTATTTTGACTGTCGATCGGCGTTGCACAGATACATATTGACGCCACTTCTGAGATATGGACTTGATGCGGAAACTGGGCACAAGCTTGCGGTAAAGGTGTTGGAGAGCGGATTCGCTCCTAAGGATCCCCTTCCAGACGATAGCGTGCTGGAGACGGAGGTACGTCGACATTCCGTTCGGGCCAGATCCTCTTCATACACGAGAATGAATGTGACTCATAGATATGGGGCGCACGTTGTTCAAATCCGATTGGGCTCGCTGCCGGATTCGATAAGGACGGTGAAGCCATCGAGGGCAAGCGCAGTCCCGGTTCGTCTCGCCTCGCACGACCCTGAACGTTTCTTCAGGTCTCTTCAACCTTGGGTTCAGCTGGGTTGAGATTGGAAGTGTGACTCCAAAGCCCCAGGTGAGTGAAACACAGCGAGCCGAGTATTCCGCGATGGAGTCTGACAAGTCTATCCTTGCCTACCAGCCCGGAAATCCTCGACCCCGCGTCTTCCGCCTGCCCGAAGACGATTCTCTAATCAATCGATACGGCTTCCCCTCCCAAGGCCACTCTGCGGTAGTCACGCGATTGAGGGCTCGTTCCGTCGCCGATGTCCCCGACAGCGAATCCATACCCGCGTCGGGGCGGCCCGGTTCCCTGCTCTGTGTCAATCTCGGAAAAAACAAGGAGTCGGCGCTCGAATCCATCGACGACTTTGTGAGGGGCGTTCAAGTCTTCGGCCCGCATGCGGATGTGCTAGTCGTCAACGTGTCCAGTCCCAACACTCCTGGCTTACGGTGAGTTGCATAGGACTCCGGTGGTCATCGACGATTCTGACCGTCTATGTATGAAGCGATCTCCAGAGGCGAAGCCAGCTGAAAGACCTCCTTTCGGGTGTCGTTCGAGCGCGCAACGATCTGCACGCGACTTTTCAGCGTAAACCAAAGCTCATGCTCAAGCTTTCTCCCGATTTGGAGGCGGAGGACGTGAGGGAGATCGCCGACATCGTGCGTTCCAGTGGTGTGGATGGTGTTATTGTCAGTAACACCACGATCAGCAGGCCGCGGGGCCTTACCCACCGTTCGTCTTCCTTGACGCTGTCACTACGCTCTATCACCGATGACGATGTCCTTGTCTCCAGCCAACAAGACCGAAGCCGGCGGATTGTCGGGACCACCCCTCAAACATCTGTCTCTGGCCGTCCTACGCACCCTCCGCTCGAATCTTCCCGAGTCCATACCCATCATCGGCTGCGGCGGCATCACTTCTGGGGCGGACGCGCTCGAATTTGCACGAGCTGGCGCTAGCATGGTGCAGATCTACACGCACTTCGGATATGACGGTGTAGGAGCATGCCGGAGGATCAAGAACGAGCTTTCCGAAGATTTGCGGAGGGAAGGCACCACCTGGAAAGAGGTCGTTCGCAAAGCTGTTTCGCAGGCGAGCTTGAAAGCGGACACAACCGAGACGAGGGAGCAAAGTATGCAGCAACTGATGGAAGAAGTCGAAATTCTGCACAAAACTGCTGGGTAATACGAAGGGCACGCTCTGAACTCTGGCTATGCACCGGGTGATGGCTTCGTTGGTGTATGTGCTCATTGCCTCTTCCGCGACGACACCTTTTGTAACGAGTGTGAGTAGAACTAAGTAGATGTGACGGCTCTGCGTAACCCTGCACGTACTTCCCCGCCCCGACCCCGGACTACCTAGTATCGTACATAATCATCTTACTCTTACTCTCGCGGCCTTCGCTCGTCCCCTTCAGTCTGGACGAACGGCGAAGTACGCGACTCCCTCTTACGGGGGAGTTCTTGGGGCTTTCAAGGAAAGTGAGTTTCCTAGTGTTCTGTAACGGTAGTATAGTAGTACCGTATACGCTTTGTAAGCCGCCGCGAGGCGGCATGATGCAATAGACCAAATACCGCATCCCATTGGATGCGGTCACTTACAACGACAACGATGGCGCCTCAATACCATATGGCGCCCAAATCACATTACTACGAGGCGTAGGCATATAAACGCCCGCTACTCTACCATGTACCGTATCTCTTTTGCTCAATATCACTCGGTTCTGTTCTGTTTCGGCCAAGTCGCGTCGTAGCATAGCATTACATAAGCTAGCTACTTTACACTTTTTTGAACACGCCGTATATTATTGAAACAAATCAAACGGTACATGAGAATGTCCGGAACACGTACTTTGAGAAGCGCGGGAGTCGCCATTGACGCCCAGAGAGTAGTAACCGAAGGCTATGAAGCCACTAAGAATAAGAAAGGGAAACACCCTGAGCATAATGAAAGCGTGGGAAACGATCAATCTGATGAGGGAAACCTATCATCATCGTATCAAACTGATACCGAAGACTTAGCAGGAATGAGATCAATAGCCGAAAGACTATGGAATCAGGGTGGTAAACGCCCACTTCGAATGGAGGACATCAATTTAATTATTGATCAAACTAAAGTAAAGAAAGGAAGTAACTATAGACAATTACTACTACTACAACGCCGGATGGAGAAACGGCAACTACAGGATATCGGACCAGCCGAATAGGTTC